AATGTTCTGACATACAAGTGGAGCTAGAAAATGTTATCTCCTGCAGCGAGCTTATTCGTATAAAAACTTCTGCTCTTGATTCTCACCAATTTCACAAAGTGTACGGTCTGGGATTGAAAGTGATGTTAAAGCTGATATTTTTGAAAAGTTTTGATTTTTCTTACTTGCGGTTAAGATGCTAGACTTTTTATTTTTGCTCGTTGTATTGCGATAAACTTGCTAGATAATGGCAAGAAGTTCTCTGCATAGCTTTGTCTCTTTGAAGCTAAAATTCACAAGGTAGAAGTTTTATGTCCTCAAATTCACAAGGGAAAGTTTTATGTCCACAATCACTACGAGGGGACTAAGGCTCCCGCCAGAGTGCCGAAGTTAGCCAGCGCTACGCCAGCATTTCGATCGATACAGGTGTATTTCGTTGGGGCGGGGCTAGCTGACGTCCCCAACGAAATACACGTGTAGGCGCTGCTGGCGTAGCGCTGGCATAACTTCGGCACTCTGGCGGGAGCCTAATAAATTTCAAGTATGGCATACTTTTATTTTATGCATCTCTTAAAGCCCGAGGAATCAACAGAAAGGTGGTCATTACGGCATTGGACACAAACCGCAAGGAACTGACACCTTTTTTTACTAAAAAAATTGTGCCAGTGCATTGATTATTGTAAAGGCTATCTCGATATGAGTGTCGCGGCTATAGCGGCTTGAATCTTGCGTCGCATTCGCTTACATACACTCGGACATGTTCCCACTCCTCAGCAGCGAAAGAGGGTTGCTGAAGCATGGAATAAACCTCAGAGCATACCGTTCGCAGGCGCGAGCGCAGCGCAAGGCTAAGCGCAGCTGTCGCGAGGGCTCTAGCTGCTAGAGCTGTGACACTCTCATTGTGACAGACTATATGTACACCAAGCATCCCGATTTATCAAATAAATCATCACAGTGAGAGGATGTCGTATGGTGTCCCACACTGCTGTATGTCAACTTCTGACTCGTTTGTACATGGAGAAACACAATGTTGAATTTCCCAAGTGCCGTATTTTCATTCATGAGATACATGCCATCATTGCATAGGACACATGGTCAGCCTCTTTCTTAAGCATACACTCTCAAAAATGACATTTTGCACTATTTTTGTGACTAAAATAAAGAAGAACATGGTGAGCTGAATTTCCAAAGTTTGCTGTGGCGTTGCGTTCCTCGCAAACTTACGGTCATATAACTTATTTCAGAAGATCAGCTGTAGATTTGCACTCCTCTAGATTCTTTAGTTCTTGAAAATCGTCAATTTGAATGCGCAATTAAAAAATATAATTGTGAGACATTCTAGTACTTCACTCGCTAAATGATCAAAGGTTGAATTTATGAAGTTATTGGCTAGGCCACATTCGGAATTCACTCTTTGTCAGCTTTTTTCAACGTATGATCACCATCTTATATATAAAGCTGAATGTCTGTCTGTATGTATGTATGTCTGTCTGTCTGTACGTATGTGCGGAATAGAAATTTTTATTTCTGAACCGATCGGGACCAAACTTGGCACACATGTACTTCGGGGCAGGGAGCGTGTCATAGGCTACTTTTCGTTATCGATCGATATCGATCGATATCGATTTTTTGCAAAATTTGAGCTAGGGGGCTAGGATTTTGCACAGGGGGGTAATCGAGCATCCTCCGGGGTGATCAGCATGCTCGATTACCCCCCTGTGCAAAATCCTAGCCCCCTAGCTCAAATTTTGCAAAAAATCGGTAAAATCGACATCGATCGATAACGAAAAGTGGACTATGACACGCTCCCTGCTTCGAAGTGTATGTGTGCAAAGTTTGGTCCCGGGCGGAGCCGGGTTTGCCATCTAGTTTGCTCTACAATCGTAATGCACGCGAAATGCTAATGAAGGAAAACAAGCGATATGCAAAAAACTTGCAAGAGTTCTCTGGTTTATATTAGCAAAGCTACGAAGCTCTAAGCTCTGCTCCCACTATGCTAGGATGTAGAATCTTAAGAAGATGACGATCACATTTTGACACAATTATCTGGTGTATGGACAGAAGGCTTAGTCGCTTACGATATGTCCATTTTCCATCGCAGTGAAGTTATAAGAAGGACTCGTATAGGCCGTCCGCGCAGGGCGCGGAGAGTGCGCAAGGTGTGTATTGCGCGTCACTCCTCTCTCCTCGTGCACTCTCGCCGCCTGTTTTTCTCTGCGCTTCTTCCAGTCGTGAACTGCCTTCAATCTACGCAACAGCGTTGCTCTCCGTGCGCAGCGCGGACGGCCTATAGTCACTGGTCGAAGCTCCACACGAAGCTAATTTGAAATTTGTTTTACTGGGGCATAGAATTCGAGCGTTTGACAATCAAATAACCAACCTATCATGGAAAGACTATTTTCTAACAATAAAGACGTGGCTGTGCGTAAATTGATACAAAAAAATGGAAAATTTCGATGTGTGAGCGCAAGCACATTCCAGTGCTGAAATTAAACTTCGTCTATGCAGCTCTTCCAACTTCAAGTACTCAATTTTATACTCTAGGTATGCTAAGTCTATGATGCTGAATCACTGGTTTTTGAAAGCTGATCTGCTTTTGATTACTATTTGTTTAAAACTTTGACAAAAGTGATTTTTTATAGTGAAAACATTGAGGATATATGTTATCGTTTATCCTTCTGTGGCTCACGATCTCCTTTTTCAAACAGTGTGTGACTTTCATTGACAACTACTCAAATTGGCCTTCTTTTCAATAATACATTTATAGTCTTTATTCATTGAAACTGGTCGATTGCTTGCCGATTCATTTCTTGGTGATCTGGTCCCAAGATTTTACCAAAAACGTAAACTCAGTAATTGATTTGCAAGGTTTCAAGCATGCTTCCGATTCGAAAAATACAGGCTGCCTGTATTCCAGGCTGCCTTACCTTAATCATATTCAAGCAATGTCACTTTGTCTCCCTGATTAAACAAAAATTTATCTGCTTAGTGAAGAGAAAGAAGAGTCCTTCCCGATGATAAAGTCCTTAATGCACGTTTTGAACAACAAAATTTTGGATCAAAATTTTCAAAATTTAGTACATACGGTAACGAAAAAATCTGCATCTACGAGTCAATAATAGACTGACTGCTTATCCTTCCCACGGCTAGAAAAGCTGTTGTGAGACACAGATTACAAACACTGTTCTGATCTGACGCTTGATATTCACTCGCTTGATATTCAGGAAACGGAATGTAAGGGCAAGTTTTTCCTTTGCAAGTCACCTTTTGCAGGAGGTTCTAGTTTATATAGTTAGAATGCTGCAATCGTATTATGTCGTTATCGCCTTTGAAAGAACCTATCTTTAAGCTCTTACAAAAACTTTCGTGGCTGTAAACCCATTTGATAAAGTGCAGGCACGTTTAGAAATTTCAAATTATTGTTCACGTTTATGTATTGAAAGCACTAGGAACAAACCGAGTAGAATGGATATAAATAAAGATGCAATGCTTTAAGCTGTTTTAGTCCAAACCCTTTATATGCCTATTTATAAATTGCTTCTTCTGAAAGCAAAAAATCTGCAAAAAAGATCTTACATAAGTTTTCTTCTAGTCCATTCTTTCCTCCGCTAAAAATTTCATAGACTCGCGTTTGCCTTTCTTCCTTTTTGCTTTTTGCCTTAACGTAAAAACGTTCAAGGCGAGGTGCTTTTTTTTAAATATTTGCTGGGAAGTGTTGCTATCTCTTCAATACCTGCTGGAAGTTTGCTATAAGGTAATCTCTGAATTAAATTTAGCAATTTCAAGTATTAGGTCGGGACAAAAGTTTTGTCGGTTTTTTGAATCCACTGATGATACCTACTTACTTACTTAGATACTTAGATGGCCCGTCCTCACGTGACGTGCGGGAAGTTGCCATTGATCCCTGTCCCTCGCTTCGGACATCCACGATCTTCTTGGTTGTCGTCGGTGGCTGCGTCCACGAGTTCCAGGGGCGAGAATCGTATCCAGCTGATTTATCAGCTGGTCCATCCGTTCCACGAACACGTCTGCCCATCTCGTCGGTGGTCTTCCTCGAGGACGTTTGGCTTCGCGAGGAATCCAATCAGATGTTCTTATTGTCTATCTATCGTCCGTTCTTCTCATTATGTGACCGGCCCATCGGTGTTTCGCTTTCGCAACGTATTCCGCTGGGTCACGAAGACGGGACATTCTTCTCATATCCGTGCTGCGAAGTCCGACTAGATGTTGCTTGTGTCGGATCATCTTCAGAAGACTGCGCTCGAGCGCTCTGTGGGTGGTCCTTAAAGCTTTCGACGTGGCTACGGTATCAGCCCAAGTCTCAGCTGCGTAGCAGAGCGCTGGGAGAACGGTTGAATCGAACAGGTGGGCACGAAGCTCCGGGTCCGTCAGTTAGTCAGTGGCTTCCTCCAGAGGCCCAAAGGCCCCTCAAGTCGTTCTCCATGTTCAACGAACGTCCGAGATACACGTAAGAAGACGTCTCCACGATGGGGATGCCTTCCAATCCCATTTCTGCATCTTCGCAAAGGGCGTTCTTCATGAACTGAGTCTTCTTCCGATTTATTCGCAGTCCGATCTTTTTCCCTACTTCGTTTAGTTCCTTCAGCATCGCCTCTGCTTCAGTGATACTGCTCGAGAAAAGGATGATGTCATCCGCAAAACGAAGGTTGGATAGGAATCTTCCATCAACTCGTATGCCTCTCTCTTCCCAGTCTAGTGACTTCATCACCCACTGCAAGGCCGCGGTGAACAGCTTCAGCGAAATAGTGTCGCTTTGTGACACCCCCTTCCCAATTGGAATGGTTAGGAGACGATGGAGTTGCTGCATCGTTGCTGTACAGTCCTTGTAGTAGTCGGCTAGGGTCCTCACGTAAGCTGGTTCCACTCCTTGATCGACTAGCGCAGACAGAATGGCGTTGGTTTCGACGCTGTCAAAGGCCTTCTCGTAGTCCCTGATATGAGATTTGATGTCTAGTAATCCAATATGTAATTGATGTCAAATTCTTTTTGTTGCTTAATTACAGAGCACTCTGCAGTATAAGCGAGTATTCAATGCAGCTCCTGCTGTTTGCGTTGCTTCCATTAGCTGGAGGTTTTCCGTATGCTAAGAAAAATGAACCGATCTTCAGGTTTGTGGTTCACCTCAATAACACTTTTTAAGAAAGCTGATTTGCAGGAACTTAAACCAGTATCCTGGTTTCTTTTATATGAATCGGTCCAACGCAGGTTAGCAACAGCTTTTTTGCACATTTTGTGACGAACTATTCAGGCATTACAAATGAAAATCTGAGAGATTGACTGTTAGGGGGAGAATGCTGACGATGTTATACGCTTTTCTCTCGAAAGTCCGTTTACGGCAAACTTTCTGTCGCGTATTCTAGCTGGAAATGGAACTTATGGTTAGGAACATAAAAGACTTCCGCAACCTAGTCGTAGGGGTTAAAGTTGTCAAAGCGTAATCCAGTCAGCACCGTATGCATAGCTGATCTGTACACACAGTAATGCCCTTATAACAGCAACGCCTGAGACTGGGATTAGCTGTAACTTCAAAGTTTGAGTTCGGTAGCGGTTTTTGTCCACTTGGGGCAAAAGTTTGGGTTTGATTGTTTTTCGGCGCTGTTCCCATTGTGATACTGCTTTTCTCCTGCTTACAAGGGAATGGTCAAAAATCGAAGTGGCCATTCCAGACAAGCTGGGTACCGTTAGATGCAGCATGAAGCTCTCACTCTAAATCTGTCATCCTTACCTGTTTATCGCTTCTCTAGACGAATCTAAAAGCCATTGGAGACCATTATTTTGCTATGAAATTATGCGTAAAATTGAAAATTTAGCCGTACAAAGCCACGTTCGCCTGAATGCTGGGCCAAAACATGCAGCTAGCTTACTTAAAAATTTTGAAGCCAGAAGCTGAGCTCAAGATGCAAAAATGTGCTTAATTTCGTTGTTTTTATGTATGATTTTTTCATCATAAAACCGCTTGTAGCTTCGTCCACAGAAGCGGGAAGCAGATAAGGAAGACAGATTCGAAGTCAGTGTTTTATACTGCATCAAATGATATATAGCTTCTTTAATTTGGCCACTTCGACTTCTGACCATTCCCTTGTTTAGTATTCCCAAGTCTGCTTATCTCAATTACAAATATGGCTCATAAATTACCTTGCAAATTAGGTATTTTTCGAAATAGTTATGTCACACTTTTTTCCTATGCGGAAATAGTTGAATGGTGAATTTGAAGAGAGCAGGCCATCACTGCCATTGTTGTCGAACGATATCCTTTTCAACTCTCAGGCGATCCATAATTCAGTGCCAGCTCCATCGAAAGTCGCCTTTTAGTATCCAACCATTTGACATAGCTTCCTATAAAACTCAGAGCCTTTCAACCTCAAAATATGGTACACGAGAGAAAAAATGTTTTTAGGTGTTGACAATCTAATTTTTTACTTTGAGTCTCTAGGGGCTACGATTTTGATTTCAAATTATTAATTTGGCAAGTAATATGAAGTTATCTATTGGGTCATTCCAAGAGTAATTTTGCTTTTTTTTTCAAAATGGCGATACATTTGATACAATAACGATTTCTAAGATCATCCTCTTTCTAAAATTTATAAAATGGTTGCAGCATATCCGATGAGCTCTCGAAAAATCACCAAAATTGGTCACCCATACTTTTTGAGATGGTCAAGTTTCACATTTTTTCAAACTTGTATATCAGTCCTCCGAAGGAGTCCGAGTAACGATGCGATAGAGCAAGCCTTATTGAATACAGCACAACTTTTCCCCTTTTTTATAACTCCGTGATTTTTCAAAAGAATTTTTTAATCAAAACCATCGAATTTTGGCAGGCTTACGCCAGCCACAATCGCATCAAACATTAATAATTATTCGGAATTTGAGTATTTCAAGATGGTAGTATGATTTAGCACTAAGCAAAGCAAATAGGAGTTTAAAGATTTAAACTATAAGACTTCGAGCTTTTCGGGTACAGCGTTCAAAAACATAAGTTATGATGATTTTGTCATCGACGACTAAACGAATTGGAAACAAAAATATCTATTAAAAAAGGAGAAAAAGCTGTATGAATAGTACCCGAGCTGCTTTCCTTTCAATGTTCTATTAGACTGATTTAGCTGACCAAGTAAGATGGTAGCATCAGTTAAAATTCTATTAGAAAAGTAGGACAGCAGTGGAAAGGAGAAAAAAATTGTGAAAAAAATTGTTTTTTCATTTAGTAGGGGTTGCTTGCCCTAGCTGTGCCCTGGCTTTTGCCCAAGCGTGCGATAATTTATGCTACATTTCACTCCGCATTATGGGCATTTTGTGAGGCTAATATTTGGTTTTTTTTCAAATGACGTTCAAACAAAATGTTGTTTGTTTTCAGCATATCAAATTGCACTTATTCCATTTCGCCGCTAAGTCCTCTTCTTAACATCGGTGGATGTCCCTTAGATCAGAAAAAGCGATCGAATTAACTTCTCTGAAGCGTCAGACAAATTGTCAGACTTCCATTTCTTATTCATGAGCTAGTGAGAAAAGTTAACTTCAAGCAACGTTTCACTTACATGGGGGCAAAACATTATAGGTTTCACTTACAATTTCCTCTTTTTAGCAAGGCTTCATTTTTGCTTAAAACCTGTGAAACCCTCAAATTGCCCGTTCTTCGTAATACATCGATTTTTCCTTATTTCGTTAAGAGATTTAGGCAAATCAGATCCAACAAAACGTGATCTTTCAAAATTTTATTACGTCATATGTAAAAAAGGATTAGGTGAAAAGCTATCATATCTGCATATCTGCATGGTAACTGACAGTTGCAGGTGCCTATCCTAAGAAAATAACAAGAGAGTTCTTTTATAACTTTACGAAGAAGGAAAAAAATTGTGAATCTTTAGACCTCATTGCGTCAAAAAACCTTAATGAGGAAGTAAAAAATGTGTGGTCATTTTAAAAACCATTATTCAACGGGTTACCCATGAGCGGCAATGGCGGAGCGAAAATCGTGAAAGAACGTCTTATATCAAGCGGTCGAGGAAGCTGAATTGCCCGTACTTCGCTCATCTTCCGGGCACTCTTCTCCTAACACCTCAGCATAGTGAATGACACAACGTTGGCATATGACCTTGTGATTACCAGAAAAGCACAGCCTATTTTTGAAGCTATTTATTTTTTCGTGGACTCAGTGAAAGCGTCATTAGGTGCTGAAGATGTTAGGCAGTGCTAAGTTTTGGTAAGTATAAGTGATTAAGTATGAATGATTCTCATAAATCAGCGCATGCAGGTTGATTCACCAAGTATTTCAGAACCTTCAGGTTCTATTTGTTACCAGAAAACATGCTTGGCACTACTAGAAAACTAGGTCTCCCGAACGTTCATGCCGTGTTTTTGACGACCACAAAACGCGTAGAGTAGAGAGGCGACCAATTATAGTTTCATTTAAACCCTGAAAAAGCATTCTTTGAGGATGATCAAGAGGACAAAGTACTACACAACACAATTTTTGACGCGTTTAGCCAGGCTCTGTAGAAATTTTCAAGTCATTTTTTTTTGATGCTACCTTTCATATTCGGTCAACTTATTGTTAGCTATTAACCGAAAAATGACGTACTTGTCGTTCGAGGAAGCTCTCTATTCTTTCTGATAAAAACTTTTCTTCTGATTTGTAGAGTAAGGATAAAATCAACAATGGACGCTTCTGACTGTAAACTGAAAATTCCCAACCCGTTCAGAATCAAAAACGATAGACTGCCTTGCAAAATTGATGCTGAATTATGACTGCATTCAAACTCCGAACTTGTTTGAGTGTTTGGCGAGCTCTTGTAGAGACAACTCTAAAGACGTATAGATTTTCGAAAACAATTAATTCTGAACAGCCAATCAATGATGCTCAAAAAACTCCCTTCCCTATATATTGCACCGAGCTTACTCTATCCATCCGTTGTCGGAGCTCTTCCAAAAATTTAACTTGAAAACTTTAAAAAATTGTCATCTTCAAACATGGAGATAACCATGGATTAGAAGTTTCGGTGATCGTTTTAGTAAGCAAATGGCGCTTAAAAAACATAATTAAAAGAGGAAAAAATGCGTAGAAAATTTTTGAAGTGCTCGTCTTTTTTCGAGATCAAGCGAAACTGCGGAATTTTCAGCTTAGGCAATGCATTGTCATTAGCTATGCTTGAGCATTAGCTTAGCAGGGAATGGTCAGAACTTAAGCCATCCATGCCAAACACGCTGTATACTATCGGACTCGCCTTGAACCGCTGATCTTACTATAATATCTTTTGGTAACTGCCAAAGCTATGCGACGAGGGTACTCTCCTCCCCCTTATGCTTTACCGTTGTGCTATGTGTTCTCTTACAGTGTTAACAGCAGATTCGCGACAACGAGGGCAGTCCAGATTATGCGGCGGCGAAATATAACTGAGATACATGAACTAATAAGGATGTGCAGAGAAACACCGAGAGAGTACCGGGGAGCGCATGCACTCAAGGAGGATCCATATAGTTTGCATAACAGCGACGTAGAGTTGGCGGCGTTCGTAGTTAGTTTCCAGACTGTATGCACATTAAGTGCAAATTATAGAGCTTGCTTCGCATGGAAAGTGCAAATATGGGCAACAGTCGTCAAAGATCACCTCCTCATTCATAAACAAGCAAAGAGAACAGAGCTCAAACAACAAAATATTGATTCCAGATTACCAAATTAGTGCAAATGTCTGACCCCCAGTTGCTATCATAATTTGGAAAAGTGTCGCTCCATTTCGCTTCCTGGCCTGCCTAACTTCTCATAGTTATTAGTTTTCGAAAAAGACATTATGATTTTGAACAATTGAAGATTAGGAAAATTAGACAACATAACCTATCAATCTTACGGGGATTCGCTTAGACCTCGCCTTTTGAATACTTGTACTTTTTGAAAATATTGCTTTTGCCCCTGGAAATAGAGGAAACAGGGGGAGCTACGTTTCGTTGGAAGAAAAGAATCAGTCGATTCATGCGGTAGTAAATTTTCTAAATTTCTTAGGAATATTTTGCTAAATTTCTAGGATTAAATGCTGAATCCCACAAAAACCTGTCTAATACTTACTTTTGGATGCTTTTACATTGTGAAAATAATGTTTTTGCCTCTAAAAACAAATGAGCAGAGTGAGCTCAGTCTGCTAGAAGGAAAGACCCAATAAATCCACTCAAAAACACACTTCTTCCATTTAGATTTTTTTATGTGAAAATTCACAGAAACTTGCTGCATTTGTTTTTGGCGGCCTCTGCTTTGTGAAAACCCTACTTTTGCCAATAAAAATAAAAACAACACAGCAGAGGGAGCTTGTCTTAATGGAAGAAAAGACTTAGTGTTCATGCGGCAGGACATTTTTGATATGATTCTCTAGGTTCCAGTGCTGAATCTCACAAGAAAGGCTTGAAATTCAGTTTGGCCGCTTTTATCTTGCGAAAACCGTACTTCTGCTTCAAAAAGCATAGGTTTCGAAGAAAGGAAAGCTTTAAAGGCAGCGTCCGGGCAAAATTGACCTACCTCAGATGCTGTCACATTTCGACAGGGTCCCCCTCAACTAAGACAAAACAGCAAGTCCGCCCCGAAAATGTGAATTCTGAAAGTCAGGTGGGCGGGTCAAGTGCCGCTCCCCTTCCTCCTTCCGCTCCCCTTACGCCTACGAAGACGAGCTTACATGTTTGACGCGCCCCTTTGACGTGTCGTTACACGCAGTGTTTCTACCTTTGACACATGTTTTCACGTGTCACTACACCAGATAAATTTCGGAACACTCGTCCGCGATTATTGAAATAGGGTTCCAGAAACGGGGGTTTTGGAGATTTTAAGCAATTCTCGGTTCGGATTTAGATTCAGGGGCGATGAAAAAGCAAGAAACGCTAGAAACATGGAAGTCGAGGTTTTGCCCGGACGCTGCCTTTAAGGACTTTATGCGGCAGCTTATTCCGGCTAGGGACTTCTCAGTTTCAATGCTAAATCATGCAAAAGCTCGCTTGAAATCCATTCTTGAATACCCAGAGCTTCATGCGACAGGACATTTTTGCTAGGATTGTCCAAGAAAAAGCTTTGGGCGAACTTTGGTCTAGCTTCAAGAAGTGACCGTTTCTTGGCGAGACATAATGAGGAGGGTATAGGACTGTGCATGATCGCGAAGCTCGATGCGTTGGAGGCCGTTGCACAGTTCCTGAGTGTCAGCCTGATCGGGTTGAATCAGCTGTTCTAGATAGATACTGCTGAGGTGAAGGTGAACTTCATGTTTAGTAGCTGTGATATCTGAGTAGGGTACTTGCAAGAAAAACAGCTTAGATGATTTGGGAGTTACTCACTGCAAAAAGTTTCCTTGAGAGCATAATCTTACTTCTACTACTACGTACTTAAATTGCGCCAGAGATCGTTGAGAAAATGGAAATGATCTTAAAATGAAACCTTGAAATGAGCCTGGTTGGTTCTGCTACTACTGCTACTACTAAGCCAGCCTTGGTTCTGCTACTACTTGCATTGCGAGAAAGATCTTGAGAAAATGGGAATACATGGAATCCATTTTGGTCGCTTCTACTTTGCGAAAATCGTACTTCTGCCTAAAAAAATCAAAAAGAGCAGAGGATTGGTTTCGAAGGGAGATGAGCTGCAGGAGCTTTATGGGGCAGTGCGTTTCTGTCGATAATTTCTCAGTTTCAAACTAAATTATACAAAAGCTCGCTTGAAGTCCATTTTTAACCGCTTTTACTTCGCAGAAATCACACCTCTGCCTCTTATAACAAAGAAACAAAGGGAGCTTGGTCTCGAAGAAAGGCTCCAAGAGCTTCAAGCGGCAAACATTTCTCTTACGAATTTCTCAGTTCCAAGGCTAGGTTATACAAATCTCGCTTGAAATCCACTTTTGACCGCTTTTATTAGGGCTTAAAGAAAGTTTCCGGGCACTTGCGAATTTTTCTCAAATCGCTGTAACTTCAAGCAGATGATTGTTCTTTAAAGCTACAAACTTCGTTGCAAAGACAATTTTGTTTATAATATACATCTACCTTGCTGGCTTTTCAGCGCCTCACTGCGGTCCACCAGCATGCACAGAAGGGAAAAAGGTCTTCGCGAAAAGTAGCCTATTGGCGCAGAATATCTCATGATGAGAGCTGGAGCTCATATGCTGTAGTTATATAGAAGTGTGCTGGGGGTATCTTGGATACTATTTACGCTTTCGAGCGACTAGCTGCAAAATAAGTTTTTCCAGAAAGGTTAAGAAATTGACCATATTATGCCTCAATGCACCATTTTTCGAGTAAGCGACTTTGAAGTCTTCTCGTTCTGCACAGAAGGAACCAAATCTTTCACTATTGCGAAGATTGTTGGGCTAATGCCTTCTACATCTTTTGGACTCAATGGCGATCCTCGCAGAAGCGATGTCAGCAGCGAAAATAATTGCAGTCAGAGGCAAGTTTAACAGCTTGTAATTTCTGAGCGCAAATCGCAAAACTCGACTGCAGCTGCGAGTCAGAAGCTAACAGTCTCCTCGATTGGATCACACACGATTTGGGCGAAAACCTGTGAACTTCACAAAATAATGGCCGCAGGAAGAAAAATTGTGAAATTGTCATGGTTAGAAAGATTTTCTTTTTTGATATGCAGATCATACATGTTTTGGCATCGAGGAAAATTAGAGGTTCTTCGAAAAGATTAGGCTTCCTTCTACCGAACAGTATAGAATGGTATCCAATTCCGACGGAGCGGCAAAAAAATGCATCAGAAAACGAAATCTTCAAAAGTTCCCGGACTCTTTCTTTTCAACTTAATATTTCGCAGAAAACATACCTCTGCCTCCTATAACAAAGAAGCGAAGCGAGAGCTTGGTCTCGAGCGAAGGAAGGCTTGAGGGCTCTATGCGGCAGTGCACTTCTGCTAAGAATTTCTCAATTCTAATGCTAAACTATACACAAGCTCGCTTGAAATCCACTTTTGGCCGCTTGTGCTTCACAGAAATCATACTTTCTTATAACAAAAAAGCGAAGCAAACTTGGTATTGAGGGAAGGAAGGTCCCGAGGGCTTATGCGGCAAGATCAATGCTAGCTTATCAAAAATATTGCTTGAAACCCACTTTGGCCGCTTTTATTTTGCAGAAATCATACTTCTGCCCCCTTTAACAAAAAAGGAAAGGGGGCATGGTCTCAAAGGAAAGAAAGTTCCAAGTGCTTCAAGGAGTAAACTTTTCTGCTAAGAATATCTTAGGTTTAATGCAAAATTATACAAAAACTCGATTGATATCCACTTTTGGCCCTTCTACTTCGAGAAAATCGTATTTCTTCGCCTAAAAGCAGAAAAAGCAAGGGAAGCTTGGTCTTAGCGGAAGGAAGACCCAGAAGCTTCATGCGGCAGGACATGTTTGCTAAGATTGTCCAGGAGAAAGCTTTGAGCGAACATTGGTCTCGCTTCAAGAAATGACTTCACGAGATGTTATAAGGAGAGTAAAAGACTGTGCATGATCGCGAAGCTCGATGTGTTTGCGGCCGTCGCACATTCCTGAAAATCAGCCTGAATTTCGAGTTGAATCAGCTGTTCTACATAGATGACTGCTTAGGCGATTTTCATTTTTAGGAGCTGGGTTTGGGTCTTTGCAAGAAGAACAGCGTATATGATTTGGTAGTTAGTCGCTGTAAAACGTTTCTTTGAGAGCCTGATCTTGCTTCTATTACTACTTGCATTGCGAAAAAGATCGTTGAAAAAATGGGAATTCATTTTCTTGCTATTCTTAGTTGCACACAGACATTTATCAATGTATCTGCCCCAGCCCACTTACTAGCGACCCGTAGGGTCGCTAGTCACAAATATATGTTTATTATCTGCCAAACGACTATATAAAATGGGATATGAGCGTTCAAATGTGCGAGTTGTCAAGTGCTCTGTGGCGCATGTTTCACGAAATAGGTTTCAAAAACACTTTGTAAATCCGCACCATCAGGCTGCCTTCCAAGGAAATATATTCGTAAAAACTTGATAAATTTTTCATATTTGAGCGCTCATAATTCCTCCGGATAGTCGCTTGGCATATATTTGAAATCAGCGTTTTAGACGATAATATACAGCTTATTTGAAATGGCTGGAAGTTCTGACCATTTCTCGTTAGCAGATTCTCCAGGCGACAGATAAACACGGTAGGATATGTATTAGGGTGTATCAAGATATAAAGCGACTCTAAACAGTCTCCCTTTCTCCAGCTGAAATGCACATACATACGAGCCAATTTTATTCCTATCTACCGTTTGCGTTACAAAATACTTCATGCTGGTGTTGCTTCCTGTCAGCTATCGAAATTGCTTTTTAGCACATCCTGGTCGATGCGAAAGTGGATGGACTTATTACGATGAGACCGATGCTTGCTATAAGGTTTGTCCTAAGTTTTGTTTTAAGACGTTAGGTTTGCTGTATTTTTGAAATGTAATTAAATTCTGCCTATACTCTTTCAGCCAAATGATAAAGTACACATCATTTTAGAGCTGGAAATGCTTCTAATACTTTGTTTCAATTACTTTTTTTCTTTTTTACCTAGGAACATTCACTCAAGCAAGCAATGAGTTTTTTGTCCAAACCGCTTCTATCCCTGCGCCTTTACTTGCATTACGTGCATGAACATGTAGTTCATCTGTTGAATCGTGACGATGGATTTGCTGAGGACTTTGCTCCTAGCAAAAGCTCTCATTCAAGAAAGTATCGCTTTAACGTTTAGCTCAGTACCTTCAGTGTCTGAATATTATCACACGTAAGCAAAAAACCATTCGAGTAGAGATCAAAATCAAGAAAATGCGATTTCGGGATGTGGCGTGCTTGTCGCGCGCAGTCACGCCATCGTCACGACTTCTCAAATGCCTTATACCAACAATTGCAACATGTTGACTGAGGGTAGGCTGCTATGCAGCAACATGCTAGCAAACGATGTCGCTAGCATGTTGTTGCATGTTGCCAACATCTTGCATATATGTCGCCAATATTTTGCTCATGCGCATCAGTGACACAAAGAAAGGAAAGAAACGTCTATAAAATTGAGCTGCTTTATGTATCACTACCGTGATTTTGATCGCTCTAACTATGTGTTCACAAATAAGAAGACTGTGGCTATTAGACTGCTTTCATTGCATGCAAAGCACATTGATGTTGACACCTATAAAAAGATGCCTTCTCCACTATACCAAATAAAGGCATACACAATCATATTACAAATACAGTGAATCTACCGTCTAAGTTCAGCAAATCAAATTAGCAAGTTCTTTTTTCGCTAGCAATTAGCATGTTTTGCCATGTTTCACCTAGAGATTTTGAAACATTCCTGGCTTATATTAGGTCGCTCCGAAAGCTCTGTCGCTCCATGAAAATTTGTAACTTTTTGCTATCTTGGCGGATTTGCTTTTCTCTAAATTCAATAAAAAGGAGGAAGTCTTCTTTTTTTTGTGATAGGATCTCGATGAGCTCCAATTATGTTTTTTTTATTGTAGAGATAAAAATGGAAGAATAAAGACCACTTAAGCTTTGACCATTTTAGGTTAGGTCGCCAAAACTCTGGAACGCTGCAGAAAAAGTTGAAATTGCCTACACATAAGTTTTATGACCTACTCTTTGCATAAGAGGAAAATCATGCTGTTTGGACGTTTCAATGAAAGTTATGATTTCCGATTTTACAATAGAAAACGCCAAAAATGATTAATTTATCACTTTTTACGAAAATCATAACATTTCATTGAGAAGTCCAAACAGCAAATTTTTTTCACTAGTGTAAAGAGTAGGTCATGCAACTTATGTGTAAGCAACTTCAGATTTTTCTGCAGCGTTTCGGAGTGTTTGCGACCTAACTTAAAATGGTCAAAGCTTCAAGTGGTCTTCTTCTTCCAATTTTATTTCTACAATGAATGTATAGTTGAAGCCCACCAGGACACTTCTACAAAAAAGATTCTTTTTGAAATAATATCAGAAAGAGGCAATTCCGTCAAGATACAAAATTACAGTTAAAGTTACAAAATTTCAGAAAATGAAACGACGGAACTTTCGGGACAACCTAATATAATCGAACTTCCAATGTTCTCTTCACTTCAAAAAAGAAAGGTCTCCTTGTGTACCAAAAGAAATAACTTCGCTCGGTTCCTGTTGAAAATAACCAAAAAATCTCCACATCCTTTGCCCTCATACAAAATATTTCCCTGTCTTTGGCCCACTTTTCAATGCTAACTCTTTGCTCATCGTATTTATTAAACAATGCTCACATCCCCTCCCCCTACGCAATTGCCCTGCAGCTCAAAGCCTGCAAAAAATCGATTTGATTTATAAAAATTAGGGGTGTGCTCATTTACCCCTGTGTCACCCTCAGCCCGTAGCTCACTCCAAAAAAATGATGAAAGCGGTGAAGGTTAGTACGCCGATACCTGATAGATAAAGTAGTGCAGCGAAAGCCAAAAAAATATTATCGTAGTCATTTTGTGGTAAGAATTGGATTTTTGCATTAGATAACAAATTAATTATTCAGTTCATTGAAGAGTTTCTGATTGAATTGTTCTAGCAAAAAACGTGATATTAAACCTCTGAAATAAAAGCTAAAAAATAACGTTTACATTACCACAGCTTGCACAACAACTGTCTCAGAAAACAACGACACTCTATAATGTAATTTGTCAATTTTCATGAAAGTATGTGCGAAATAAAGGACCCCAAAAAAGTTTCTTCATATGAGACCAGCTTGCTCTTAGGGTACACTTTTCATAAACAAAATGATTTTTTTAGTGCCGTCATTTCCAGGATTTTTCTTCAAAATTCATGAAAGACTAGGAAATCTTTGGATTAGTCTTTCGCCTAGACAGCGTCGAACTCTTGCTCTTGACGACACCACGCTTTGCACAGGATGCCCTTCGAAAAAATGAGAGTTTCGCTGCGTGCTTTCAAAAATAAGCTATAATAGTGCTCTGCGAGATTTCGCTTGTACATCTTTCTTTTGAAAAATCGACTTTTGTATCGTGTAGTTATTTTTCAGAGCAACTACTTCAAATTTTATACAAGAAAAAAAGAAACTGCAATATAATGCTCTGAATTAAAAGTGTAGAGCTTTGTTTACAAAAGCAGAGCATATATACAACAGAAAAATGATTTTCATGATTACTTTCAAAGCTGGTTTTTCATGAAGTTTTGTGAAGTCTGTTAGATTGATCCTCTCCAATAATGCTATGATCTGGAAGAAGTTCTTATCTGTTTATAAGAAACAAGCTTTTAATTAAATTTTCAGCAGCATTCTTATATTAAGAAGCATTACTACTACACGGTTAATCAAAAAAGGCACGTGTCTAACGCAACCAGTGAAAATGTACTTAAACTGCGGAAAAATAATTTTTTAGGAGAAAATGCGGAATGGAAGTGAAGTAATGCGTATCAGTTCACATTGAGAAACGTTAGCACCTATGAAAGCAAGAGTAGGGCGCTGCATAGTTTAGCCAAATTACATAATCTTCAGCTCGCAGTATCTATTCTGAGGCAAAATGTCGCCATTGATGATTCAAAACCTTCTTCAAAGCTACTCAAAGTGATCCCACAGTAACTGAAGTGCAATATATGACTTGCTCCATATTGTAAATATAAGTCAAGCCTGGTCTACTGTACAGTACTTGAAGGTAAACACAAGACTTTGTAAGAAGAAAGTTATTGAAGATTAAAAAATGTGTACATACTTTTGAGAAATCCCATATGATCAAAATTGGATAGTCGTCCAAGTGGCTGTTCTGGAAAAAGTGAACGGATCTTGACCACGAAATCTCGGGGAGAGGCCCAAGGGTACGCATTCAAAGCTTCGTTTCTGTCTTGGATGTCCTGTCAAACTATTCTAAACCATTTATAGCGCTACACATCAAATCATGAGCTTGCCTTGTAAGCCGAATTTCCTCGTAATTCGAATACATTTTCGTTATTTGGATACTCTTAATTTGTGCCTGTGAGCTCCAGCAGCCTACTCTTGATCTTTCATAGGTGGTAAAGTTTTCCAATGTGAACTGATACGCATTACTTCAACTCTACTTTTTCCGTACAAACAAATTATCTTTTTCAGCATTTAGGTACATTTTTACCGAATTGCTTTGCACACGCACATTTTTTTGATTAACTGTGTTAGTAGTAATGATTCTTTACATAGAAAAGCTGCTGATAATCTAGTGTGACAGTGTCTAGTTTTATACAGAGGATGAGAACTCCTTCCAGATCAGAGCAATATGGGAGAAAATCAGTCTGATAGACTTCTCAAAACTTCATGAAGAACTAGCTTTGAAAGTAATCAAACTGAAAGTCATTTTTCTGCCATACGTAGGAGTAAGCTCTGCTTTTGCAGAAAGTATAAGTTACGTTCTTAATTCAAAGCATTACATTGCAGTTTTGTTTTGCTTCCTTGTATAAAGTATCAAGTACTTGCCCTGAAAACTGATTACAAAAGTCAATTGTTCAAAAGAAACTTGTATGAGCAAGATTTCCAAGAAACACTACCTTAGCTTGTTTTTGAGAGCAATTTCAGCAAAAACAGCAAAACACTCATTTTCTTCGAATGAAACCGTATGCAAACCGTAGTATCATCAAGAGCGAGAGTTTGACGCTGCTCAGATGAAACACTAATTCAAAAATTTTATTTCTTGAATTTTTATGAAATTCCTGACAATAAAGCGTTGTTGATAAGAATGAGTTAGTGAAATGACGGAATTTCTGGTAAACCAAAACTTCGGTCTGTGGTTCATCGCAAATTTCAAAGTTTCAGTAAACATTTGTTTTCAACAGAATCCATACATTCCTTCTAGATAATCAGTAAAGTTTTGGCGCGTTTTCTTTAACTTTGAAGAATAAAAGATGATTTTGAAGAGAAGATGGTCAACCACCGGGAATCACCACGGGATTACGCGAAGTGCTGGAAAATGCAGCTCGTACCCTGATCGATAAGTTTATGGTGAAGGATGGTAGGAACACCTGCGTACATGTGAACAGCATGAAATTAAGATACCTGCTTTGAAATATGGAGCTTTTTTATAAGCCGCCATTTTCTAGCGTTGGGGATGTTAGGGCTTACGGGCCTCAGTTTAGTTTCAAAATCTTTCTTACATGAAAATATAAATTATTTGTTTCAAATTAAAGGGACACTACGTCTTCTGCAGGTTGCAATAAAATCCATGGATATCAGTTGCATCCTCTTCGCTGTTAAAAGCTCTTAAGAGTCTCAAGTTGCCAAGCATTGGGTCGATTACTAAATTACCGTTGCTTTTATGATAATCTATGAACTTGCTATTTAAAACAACACTTCATCGTGTATAAAGCGGACACGGGTAATGCAACCAACAATCAAGTAAAATAACAGTAAGGAAAAAACAGCGAACTGCTTGAAACTGCGCCTTCAAAGCCCAGAGCAGGTACTTTTGTCTAGAGTCTCGTCATTCAAACTGAACAAATTGAGACGAAACTGACCAGATTAACAGCATGCGGATACAAAAGTATCAATGTATCAAGAAAATCTTGAGATGTTGAATAAATGAATCACTCTTTAGAATTTCTTCAATAAGCCATTTCAAGCTGCCGAGAGCCTCTGCATTAGTTTTGGAGGACATTTGACTTCTATTCATAGTTGGAAGGAAAATTTATTTGTAGCCGGTAAGCTTAGATTGTTTTTTGAGTGTAAATTGCTGTGTTATGTATTTAGATTTGGCAAAAACGGGTTTCACTATCCCTAATTGGAATTGGACAACTTGGATAGGTCTGGTACGATCTGATTATTTGAAAGGAGAGTCGAACGTTACGTGGATTTGGACTGACGGCACGGAGTTGGACTTTATATCCTGGGGACCAAACGAGCCAGAGAATTTGAACAATAAACGGCGCTGTGTGGCGGTATGACTTATTTCTAAAAAAAAATCAAAGGTTGGCTCGAGCTGCTCATCGAAATAATCACAACCACAATCAAGCATTTTTGCGAGTAGAGCAACAGAAAAACAAGGACTTCTATGTCTAAACACGCGCTGATACCTTACTAAGCTCGATTCATGTCTGGTTAGTAAAGCGACCATCACCGTGCTTATTCGAGCAATTCTTCTCCTCCAGAATACTTGATGATGCTGCATTAGTTTTTTCTGCATGGCTCAAAGTGTGAGCATTTTTGGTAAGTCTGGTTCAGCAATTAAAGTTTTTGATTTATTAGGTTGGTGCAGAAGTTTTGTCACTTTGAATTAGCCCAAGAACACTGTAAAGAAAAAAAACAAAAACTTTTAAAAGAAAGAAAAATTTTTTCTCTTTGGCAACAACTGTGTTAAGACGATTTTTTTCACGTGAGTCAAACATTGGAGCGTTACGAGGTTACAAGGTCAGTTGAGCAACTTGTTAGCTCATCTGTCGACATCATCTAATGTCGTCGATATTGCTCATCCGACTGCTGAAGTTTATTCAATCAGCATAAGAACTCAACTCTGTCAGATAGGAGACCAAATCCGAGAAGCGATACCCAACCTCTTAAAGACTTAGGGTAGCCCCATCGCTGCGACGTACCTCACGATGGTTGTGCCTTAAACTACAGCGTGTAAGAAGTGTGGCCTTTGATAGGGCCCGCGGCCCGCCGAGTTAGGTGGTTGGGCCGCGACCTTCCCGGTAATCTCTTCCCGATTTCAACTTTGGCCGCGGCGTTCCCGGTAAAATATACATGGGCCGCGGCGTGTGCGGCTGAAAATTTAAGGGCCGCGACGTGTGCGGCTGAAATTTTAAGGGCCGCGGCACGCCATGTAACACGCTTTGAGGCCGCGAACTTTCCGATGCAATTGTCTGAGGAGGTGCTGAAAAGCCAGCGAGAAAATACAGGGTGTCCCAAAAAATTTATCGAACGTTTGATCGTTATACCTCTCTTCCCAAGAAGTCTTTTGCCTTGCTTCAAGTACCGTTTTGTAGAGCTGGCCTTCAACTTAGATTTGCATTATAGAGCGAATCACCCATCTTTCTTCATTACTGTAGGATTACGGTAGAAACTTAAAACATATGGTGTCAATGTAGGAAAGCTGCCGTTTCAAAATTTTTCAAACAAAAATGTGAGAACTTGTGTAATTGGGTTTTTATGAATGCTGAGTTCAATGCTCAACTATGTACAAAGTTGCGAAGCCTTTTAAACGGTGTAACGGCACTTTTTAGGCACATTGCAAAAATTGGCCGCTACCTCTTACCTGACATAACTCTTCAATGAAGCATCATAATGAGTTGGGAGCTTTACAGTTATAATCAGCAACTCTAATTAGCCCAGCATAAAAGTTTTGAAGCTGTTTTGTTTCCTTTCTGAGGCAAAATATGGCCTTTCATTGCTTAAAACCCTCTTTGAAGTTTCTACCGTAATCCCACAGTAATGAAGAGAGGTGAGTGATTCGTTCTATAATGCAAAACTAAGTTGAAGCCAGCTCTACAGATTGGTACCTGAAGCAAGGAAAAAGACTTCTTCAGAAGAGAGATATTAACGATCAAACGTTCGATACATTTTTTGGGACACCCCGTCTATGTTATAGACAAACTTGTCTTTGCAAAGAAATATGTAGCTTCAAAAAAGAATCAATCTGCTTGAAGTTATAGCGATTTAAAAAATTTTCGCAGGTGCCCAGCAACTTTCTTTACGACTAATAACCGAGCTGGTATCGCTTCACATGGAGATTTGAGGTGCACAGTGCGCACTCGTAAAATTGAGAATTGCGATTTACCCTGCAGCTTCCGCGTGTCTAGCAAAGAAAAGACAATTGACAATTGTTGATGAGAGAAGAAAAGTTTTAGAACCTGATTTGTTTATTCTTCAGAGTTTTGTTAGGTTTAGTTAGACTGTGTTAGACGATTGGACCTGCTACGTTTTCACATACTAATGATAGCATTAAGACGGGCAAATTTAAAAGGAGCTTTTTCTGCAGCTTCAAGGAATGAACTGCCCGAGCCCGTGTGCATTCACATCCCGCTAAGAGAGGGAGAAGGGGTTAAGGAAACGCCTCTTCTTTGGTGTTTTGGAATTTCTAACTTTCGTTATCTACGAATCTCTTAAAATCGCTACTCCCCCTATCTCTTAGTTAACATAAGGAATGACAGCGTATTCCCATGGCTGATTTTTCACTATTTTGTATAGATATATTCCTTGAAAATTCCTAGAAGATCGCACAAAACAATAAATTCAGCTAGATGTCATTCATTATGTTAACGTATTAGCGTAGTTAAACCTCCGAAAATTGATTAGAAAGAAAGTGGTGCAGATTCGTAGATTATCGAAACATAAGGCGCTTTCTCATAGCTTGTGTCGCCTCTCCAGCAAAAGTGCACATGCATACGGCGCTGACATCAAGAGGGCAGGTTGCGGTAGATGCAAGTTAGCCACCATCTCGAATGTGCATCGCATCATATCCCCTCAATTCACATTTGTCCTTTGCTATAAAAAGCGGATATGAAATTTCCGACAACCTTTAAGCAACGAAATGATGAGTGATCACTTATGAGATCTATGTTAAAAGTGAAAGATGCAAATATGCATGACGCTAAACGATGGGAAGTATATCACTAGCATAGTCTGGAAAAGAATCTTTTAATCTGCGGAGTTCCTTACGTATAAGTACGAGGAAGGCGATAAAACTTAACGTAGGCGGTGAGGGACAGTAGAGAACGGTTTACAAATTTAATGGAAATTGTACGCATTCGTTTGTCATTTTACTTATTTTTGTGGTAGACGTACAAGCATGGTTTTTTGAATATGAGAAGGTCTACTTTACGAATAGTGCTTCTTCGCTTCAAAAGATTTGCAAATTTTCGCGCTTACGTATTTTTTCTTGGGGCTAAATAATATCATAAGCAGCAGTGACAAACAATAACTGATTGCTGGAGAAAGCAAGTGCTTGCAATGAGCACTGCAAATTAAAGTAAACCCACTATGTAAAATTCTTAGCAAAAATTTTGAATTTTTAGCAAAAATTTCAACTTGTGAAACTTTGAGAAATAGTATATTCGTAAAGTAAGTCTGAGTATATTATAAATCAAGAGTTAAAAGTGTTTTTGTTTCTATGTATGTTATTAATTCTGTCTGTTTGATGCGACCGCGCCGAATGTGTCCTCATGAAGTCAAGAGGAAGCATAAGTTACTTTCCGCAGCGATTCACTAGGCTTTCATTTTTAGTGATTTGTCGATTGCGTTTGGAAAAATGGAAACTTATTGATCACCGGCGAGTTATTTTCCCTCTACTCGTACAATGAGTCTTTCCTTTTACAAAATGTATAGTATACTGGAGGAAGGGTAGTGTAGCAAAGATTAGGACGCGGAACGAAAGGTAGGAGGGAGGGGGGGGGGGGATAAAGAAGGTTAAAAGAAGATGAGCAGAGTTAAAAGAAATCAATCAAGTTTTTTCTAAATCGGCATAAGTTCGCAGCTGAAGTACCGCAGCACAAAATCCAAACCTGATGGAATCGTCTGTCACTATAATAAATCTTACACAACTGCAAATTTACCCCACTGCTAACTAGATCCGTACCCGATTTTAGAGGAGCGGAACTAATTACGCTCTCTACTGCCTGCCTACGTTGTGTTGGGAAGAAGTACAAAATCGTTCTCCGCTTTTCCTCTAGGTGCGCCAGTGGGAGGCACGATAGCCTCTTCGGGCCTATTTCGTGCTTGGTTTCGCATATACCTCGCACATATGTGCATTGCTTCCCTTCTGGACAGTTACCTTGTTCCTTCTGACTCAAATTGGGAGAATCAACACGCAAGCGACGACTTGTAAGTACCAGCCAAAAGGAAGATCCCGTGAGAACCATTTGATATGAAGATTAGATATAAAATGAAAACGCTGATTATGTTTATTCACTTGCGGAGCGCAATATGTGCATGTTTTAAAGATATACGACTAGGATGACACCATCGTTCGTTTACGCAGTTCATTATGTCACTTGAAAGACTTTTATCTTTCTAGAACCTATCCTTTCGCTTCCAAAAAGAAAGATTATTCAATAGTTTAAGAAAAACAATATTTATCAGCAAATTTATTTGCAGATGATTTTCCTGTTAGACGCTATTCTATTTGAAAATAGGTAATCATGCATTCTACCTGTACTTTCGCTAAATGAACGTTCAATTCTTTTTAGAAGGAATGGCCTTATAGAAGTGTTAAGAAGTAGACGAACATCAGTGGCGGACCGAGTGGGAATCGCGAATTTTTTGGAAGTTACTTATATGGGTTGTAAAAATGCACACGTGACTTGTTTATTATTGTAAACAATTAAAATAATTTTTAAAAACTTTTGAAAGTTCAAATCATTAGGTTGTCTCATAAGTTTTCAATTTTGATTTTTAGCGCAATAAATCACATACTCCTCATGATTTGAATGCAGGGTACCATTCGATAGAGCAAAGCAATTTCTACAAGAGGGCATGTAAGTGTTTGCAAGAATTAATTGAAATTTTTTCAATACCTTTATCCGAAGAAAGCTTACCGGATCCCAAACTCGCTCATGCATATACGCCATATAACACATTCATATATGCCGTTGCTGTGTTTGTTTCTGTGCGAAAAACCGAGATAACTAAAGCTTTCAAGCTTTCAAAAAAACGATGCTACGCAGTTCTCAATAAGGTAAATGTACACGACAAGCCCTAAACAGTACAGTCACAAATTTCCAGCTTTCTATAAGCTCTGGTTTGCGAAAAATATTGATTTCAACATAATATTCCTTAGCAAAAAAAGCTAATTCTGTGTTTGTCAAAAACTAGCGCTTCCAGGAGGCTGAAAATTTACCGACGTATCTTTGAAGGTTTGTAGAGTAAAGGCTGCTGCATGACGAAGGCGCAGCGTATCCTCACCCTTGTAGATCCCGCACCTCGTGCGCTCTGCAGCTAATAAAGCCGCGTTCGCGCCCGAAGGTGTTTGCGCCTTTGTCATGCAGCAGCCTATACATTTACCTATGAGAACAGCGCAGAATCGCTTTTTTGAAAGCTTGAAATTTTAGGTTTTTTAGCTTCTAGCACAGAAACAAACACAGCAACGGCACATGTGAATGTGTTATATGGAGTGTTTATGCATAAGAGAGTTTGGGATCCGGTAAGTTTTTTTCGGACAAAGATAATAAAAATTTCAATTTTTGAGCATCCAAAAGTTCTCAGATTTTGGCTTGTAACTCGTAATGTGCTGAAGCTGGTGCGAACGCTCACATGATGTTTTGTAGAGCTTGCACTGCTTTGTCGAATGGTACCCTGCATTCTAATCACTATTGAGAAGTCTGTGGCTTATTGCGGTAAAAATCAAATTTGAAAAACTCATGAGACAATCTGACACCTTTGTAAAAAATTTTTTTTGGAGGCGTGGCTGACGCCACGCCCCTATCCTTCAAAATTTAGGGGTTGGGACCCGCAAAATTTTGAGAAGCATCCCAAAAATATTTTTGGAGTGCGTGGCTAACGCCACGCACCTTCATTGGAAAACATATTTGCCATCTTCCCCCGAACGGAAATCCGGTTACCGCCACTGTTAAACATATAGACAGTTAGCATACCATACCGCTACACCTATCCACCATGTTTTAGCCACGGCTAAAAGGATCTTCGTTGTTAATTCTGCCTACTATATTAAGCGTTTCTTAAAGCCATTTCTTTTTGGATTCTTTTTACATAAAAGATTGTGCAGAAGGGCGCTGATGCGTAAATGTGGGCGATATGCGCGACACAAGTGCGAGGCACCCGCAAAGAGAATATTGTCTTTTAAGAGCATGTCTGGTCAAAAAGTAGCAAGCTTTTGAAGGATGCTGCTACTCCGCCTTTGTCTTGCAACTCAAGCGCATCTGTATACGCTAGGCAGCATCAGTATGCGAATTCAAGCCTTCACAGCTCCGTTCAGCGCGTCATCCCGCAGAAACAATATCAGAATTTTGCGTACTTGAATAATTAGCTCGAGAGTTGGTATATTTCTTGTAGTTCAGGCAAACATGACATTAGACCGCAAACAAATTGTTTGGTGTGAGTTGTACTGGTTATAGTGTTTTCACCAGAATCACATTACAGCACAATAGAAGAATTCCACTAATTAATCAATTTTAGAAACAAGGTAAAATTTGCTGCAGACAAGGGCGCAAGACCTAAGACTGCAAAGTCAGTTTTACTAGTCACAGGGCGCTCGAAGCGCCGGTTCTTGCAATGGTGCAGATACGCCGCGCCGCGTTAGCATCCACACAGATAATTGCAGCAGATTTTACCTTTCGCTTTGCGCCTTTGTAAGGCACTAGACTCCATGGGTTCACATCAGTAAGAATTTGGAACGTGTAGTCTCATCTTTTACCACCTTACTCAAAGTACGGAGGACTAAATGGTTATCTACTTATGCTTCATATGTTTTCATTAGAGAGTCGTCAGTGTGGTGAAAATGGCTTTTGTTCTCTAGAAAAAGTTCGGGAAAAAAATCAAAATTGTGTATTTCCGTTCAAATCGAAAATTGTACTTTAGATTTTCTTGACTAAATACTTTGCTGATCTTAATAAGAGACTCAATTTTTGTGAAAGAGCTTATAATATAGCTTAAAGCACATTCAAAGGAGCTGAAGCAGAGTTCGAAATAGGTGGTCTTTTCCTTTCCATTTGCCATCTAAGGTGACTATTCTCCTGGTAACTCTGATGGTACTTACATTGGCTTCCTTTCGAAAAGTACTCTAAGCTTCCTTTTGCTATCTGAAAAAGTGAGTCGCTCGTGTCCGACTTCCGGACTCTCACAAAGGCGGTGAAACGTAAACCGTCAATAGAGAGGTTTTATCAGTTTTGGAGTTACACTCAGCACAATTTTCTACAACTGTCAAGGTGCGAAAAGCAACTTTATTCATATTAGTATTAAAATAATTCAGTGATCAGCATGAAACAGTAGCTTGGCAATTCTTAGGATTAGGGAACCTGATTTTCGCTAGTCCTTCTTCAGCATGCAGGCTCTGAAAATAAAACTTACTTTTGTCATCATTGACTTCCCAAAAAGTCTATTCAGAGAGAATAACGATGAACAAAATGGGAGAAGTGGCAGAAAATCATAGACTTTTCGAGCCAATGTCTTCAAAAATAGTATCTCAGGCCCTCAAACAAACGCTTTTTTTCTGTCTGCTCACTATTGCAAATTGCAATGCCTCTTCCATGATTTCTCCCATTTTTGATCAGCTAAAAGATTTTTTCAGCTGGTCTCCGACCCTCTCGTAATAAGCGATGTGATCCTATGGTATCAGAAGTGGGTCGACGCTGAGTGCACCATCAATATGCGATCGTTTGTATGCAAGAAAGTGGCTTTACACGATGAGTGAAAACGCATTTGATTGTTGTAACTCACGCTCACCAAATCGTTCGCAAGCTGTCAATAAACTGTCTAGATCAAAGTCTTTCCTGCCCAGATAGGTAGCGAGACAGAATCATCAACAAAAGCGAAAAAAAGCCAAATTCTGGACAACATTTGACCTGCATCATCGTAAAAGAGTTCGGTTAACCCTATCAGTTCTGCTGTACATCTGGTGATGGCGCAATGAGGTTTATGTAACTTGTCAAAGTAGGATGAATGTGCAGGATATGGCGGAAGCGTATTTTGATGTTTAGTTATTAATAACACTATCGTACAGCTTAAATCGCCTTATATGTGGAGTGGTTTGAATTATTGTTAATCGCATAGCACCAATTGTCAAACCAACAAAACGAACACCAATTGTCCCTGTTACCGCATTGATGAGAGAAACTTCGTGTTCTGTATCACTGAGAGAAAAATATCTTAGTTACAATGATGGAAGAGCCGCATTTTAAATAATCAATGGGACGCTAATTTAAATTGCAATGCTCCTCACTGTAACCCTCATTATAGATTAGTAAAACCCTTCCGTTTGTTCCCTTGCTATTTTCCCTTCTATGCTACATCTGGCTTTTCTTTTATGCAGCATGACAAGGTCGCACCAAGCTCATTGGTATTAGCTTGTCGATAAACCTTATGGAGAAAATACTCCAATTTTTAAGTTTTTCTGTTGCAGCTACTTCATTTTTCTGTTGCAGCTACTTCACTAAGCGTAGATATGCTGAAAGTTAGTAGTATAAATGGTCATTAAGAATGATGTATCGGTAATTTTTTTACTGTAAACGTGAATTTTGCTGTGCATTAAAATCCGAAAATCCGTGAAGTTACAAGAGAAAAAAGAGTTTAGATCGAATAGCGTGAAACTTCTTTTAGGACTACCTGTATTGCCGTTGGGGTTTTCGGTTCTGTCACTGCATACATGAAAACAGCGTCCCGGCAAAATTATGTGTGCCGAGTTTTTATGGCGATGTTAAAGTAGACCCCTTACCTAAGCGATGAGTAAAGTTCGGGGCGAAAAAGAGGGTCTACCAAGCCTCAAATTTTGCTCCAAAAGTGGTCCAGATCTTACGGTAGGCCTGAGTGCCGCCGCACAGCGATTCCGAACTGCAAGGCAAGAGCACTCACAGCGCTCACAGTCATGAGCGCAGGGTACAATGGCTTTGCGTCTCCACCTTGCATCCATTTCGTACTCGCCCATCGTAAGATCCGGGCCACTTGGAGGGCTATTTGCACACTTCGTAGACTCCCTCCCATGAAATTTTTATGAAAAGTAACTCAAGGGTAAACAAAGGTAAAAGAAGGCAGTACTTTTGCAACATTTGTTTGTCGTTTATTTCCATCAACATCTCTCTCCAAAATATTTGCAAAGATATGACTTAGCAAAAAGATCAGATTGATAATACCTAAGGCGATACACAATACAATAAATATTCGCTCTTCTCGCTATGATCTAAATTGATCCAGACTTTTTCGAGAATCAAACTATCTACTTAAGCTTGAGGGGTGCTATAATTTTGTTCCTGTTTCAATACTTTAGTAATGACAATTTTTGTTGAGATTTGGCATTTATGATTGCAAGCACAAGCATATTTTTTACAATACGGCTCTCAGTTTCGGGACGCATGCGGTGTCTTAAGTGCACATAATTGTAGAGAAGGATGTGAGTGATTGAAAACCTACCACAAATGCTGCAGATGAACACGGAACAGAGAAAATCAATAATAGAATTTTGTAGGTGGGCATAAACAAGAGCAAAGCCAAGTTTTAGGGCAGCCAAGCTAAAAGAATGACTCATTTATCAAACTTGATTCTGGCAAATAATCATTCATTGCTAAGTGAAAAGGTTTTGAATGCATAAGGAGTTTGATATCTGCTCTTGATGAGCAACATTGCTTGGGAAGAGTTGCCTTACTACAAAATACTATAAATTGAATAGAAAAAAAGAACTACACCAAACATTTGAGTAAACTTTCTCATTTCATATATTCCAAACACTGCTGTTGATGAATGGCAAGGACCAACCTAACGATTTTAGCGGATTGAAAGACGAGGCTAATTTGATCTCACAGCAGGATATAAAACACTGGAAAAAGGAAAATTGCAAGCAGAAGAGGCTTGCGGGAGTAGAACAGAGCTAGCCAGAAAGGAAGCAGACCATTTTTCAAATATCGACGAGTAGCACCAAGTACTGACCGAGAATAGTCCTGCTGGAGAGTCAAATCGGAGGATTTCAAGTCCAATATATATTTATTTCGTCGATCTTTTCATTGTTGGCTTAAAAGTCGTGTGTTGTTCTGTACTTGCGATGAACGCTGTTCTATTACTTGTGCTTTGCTTCCAGTTCAGAGGGTAAAAACCAACCCATACCACTAGACACTCCTTCCTGTTACTCTAATAAAAACTACCATATACCCGCAGTTCCTACCGTATACCCACCACCCTTACAGATGCTTATTCAGACACAACAATGTTATTCATCACTTTCGGCCCTCTTGGAGCTAGAACACTCAAAAGTAGGAAAAGAAGAAACATTGCAGGTTTCGTTCAACAATGACTCGGCACCATTCCTGGTTTTCTCAACTAAACTGTTCGTCAAAAAATGAATTCATTGAGCATTTTCGCGTTATTTTTTGCATTTTTATCCTAAGGGTTTAGGACGAGCATTTATTTCCGTTTTGTTGCGAAAGTTTATTCAACAAATTTCACTAAGCAAGCAGATCCACTAAAATCTTGTAATGCACTTGGAGGACAAATGAGCACAAAGAGTCATTAATAAAAATTCAATCTAATCTGAAAACGATAAATCGGTTCGAGAGAGACGTTTCAGGCCATCAGTCCCTGTTAGTATTCCGAATGATTACCCTATTTTCAGGTGCATAAGCCGCAGGGGATTTTTTTTTACTAAAATCGACCAGTTTGAACAGGCCAGAAGACTTCGTGATTAATGGACCCTATAACGTGCTACGTATTGCTTTAGAGAATCGTGCGGCATAAGAATCGCTTTCCGAAACTTAGTGAAGTGGCTGAGCGGCTCGCTTGAGAATTTGAAGAAGTGCGGCTCATACACCTGAAAATAAAGTACTAAAAAGTCCACTCAAGGCTCTTCCAGCCTGCTTTCAAGCATACGAAATGCCCTGATTACTAGCTGTTCGGCATTAGAAATGCTGAGATTGGCTTTCGATGCGAAACTGAGCAAAATACTGCAAGATATCTTTAATCACGTTTTCAAGGGTTCTTGATTTCGATCATTTATGTAGCAAACTCATCTCAAGACAATAAAATTGAACAACTTCTGCTTGATTTGGTATATCACCTAATTTTCAAGATTTTGATAGCATCATCAATAATCAATCAGAAACATATGTATCCATCTAACGCTTATGAAGATTGCAAGTGACTTGTTTATATTTGCAAAGATCGGATGTTTTGTAATTTTCAGAACCTAAATTATCCCTTGTAAAAAAGTTTAGTTTAGTTATTCATTATTTTACTTAAGTTACTAGTTAGTCTTGTAGTGAGTTTTATTCTTCATCTTACACTACTGTTCATCAATACGTTTCGGATCAGCCACACCCCGATCTTACAAGGGAAGGATACTTGGTCGAAGTGGGATTTCCATATTTGATGTATACTGTCTTATAGAGCGTGGAACGCTGATTCCAAATCTGCTTTCCTTTTCTGCAAAGCGCTTCTGGGAGGGCAGTTCTGGGAATTTTTGTGTAAAAATTCAATAGTCTGGCTACGGTAAAAACAGGTTGAGATCTTCCCGGCACTGAAAGGAGTTATGATTGACAAGAGCTTATTAGATTGAATTGCATAAAAGCCCTGGTAATAATTATAGCCCATTCGATAGATTGCAGTTTGAATGTTTTTATGGTTGCCACGCGTTCGATTTTTCGCTCCAAGAAAACTTCCCTCCCAGAAGCGCTTTGCAGATACAGAAAGCAGATTCGGAATCAGCGTACTAACAAGGGAATGGTCAGAAATCGAAGCGGCCAATTCGAGCAAACTAAATATCGTTAGAACACGCAGCATAAAACGCTGATTCTAAATATGCTATCCTTATCTGCAGAGCGCTTTTGTGGATGAAATTATAATATAAGCCGTTAAACCATTATTTTGTTAAGAAATCGTGCGTGTAAAGGTCAAACTTAGTCGTACAGAACCACTCTCGGCTCAGTGTTAGATCAAAACATGTAACTAAATCTCTTCGTATGGCCTGTACTCAAAGGTTAGCTAAAAGGGCAGTAGCGTGCTTAATCTCACTATAGTTCATAACTTCGCCTTCAAAGGCGCTCTGCAGATATGGAAGACAGATTTGGAATCAGCATTCTATGCTGCATCGAATGGTATGCAGCTTGTATGGATTGGCCAATTCGACTTCTGACCATTCTTCTGTAAGCTCTATAAGACAGTTTACGTTTCATAATGAAACGCCACTTGACCAAGTATCCTTCCCTTGTAAGATAAAAACAAGTGTTGAGGTCTTTTCTGCTCTTAAAAGGAGTAAAAAATTGACATGAATTTCTTAGATTGAAGGCCTTGTTTTTATAAAACGCCCTAGTAGCACTTATGGCCTTATTTTAACTCACGGACTAAGGTTCCGAGTGATTTTATTATAGCGGCGCTTTCAAATTTTTGCATTAAAAAATTCCCATAACTCCCTTCCCAGAAGCGCTTTGCAGCTACCACAAGTAGGTTTGAGCTCAGCGTTCCATGCTCTATAAAACAGTGTACATTTTGTATGGAAACGCCACTTCAACGAAGTATTCATCCCTTGTTAGATGGGCACAAAGTTGAAATATTTCGGTCTATTTGAAGCTGTGGAAGTGTATGGACTCACGTTACCCTCCTCAAAAGTCTGGTCGTTGGCGAAAAATTTTAAATTGAATGCTGTGAAGACAAAGCCCTTGTCTGTAGACTTTTTCGACAGTTGTGCCTTCCCAAGCAAACTCTAGAACAAAGGAA